GTAAGATTGTTAAATAAATAAAATTTAATATGCATGATTTTTTAGGAAAAAAAAATACCTTGCTGTTCTTTTGTTCCGAAAAATTCAATCGATTGACGAAATAAAGTGTTGTGAACATATGTTTTCATCGAAAACGCCTCAGAATAAATACTATAATTATTCAGCATGATTTAATTTCTAATAACAGTTCGAACAATGTTGTTATGAAAAACTGATACAAGATATAAAATAACATACCACATTGCGAGTTCTAAGGCATTATATAATAATGGATCTTTTAAGGTTTTACGAACTCTTTGAAATCTCAAGATTTGTCGTTGGACACTTCACGATAATAAAGGCAAAAGATTATAAGTTATCAATAACGATTACACAAGATTACATAAGAAAAGGAGTGGAAAAAAATTACAGTTCACGTTGCTGAGGTTGAGTCATATCAAAACTATGCCCACCGGGAATATAAAGATCTGGGTCGCGTTGTATCATTTGGTAGGCATCAGACTATCAATAATACGATAGAATTCGGAAAAACTAGTATAAATTATGAAATCCCAATGCTGGAAAAGTTAAATAGACGCTTACTAAAGCTTTTGCGGCTTCTTTCGAACCACAAAATAACCAATTCATATGTTCAACGTTAAAGCTCGCATTTGACCTTTCTCTTTCTAGGTCTATTGAACCTGTTGGCAGAGAAATATGGTTTTTAAGTAAGTTAAGGCGATTTAACGCATTATTGTTTGACATTTTAAATTTTCATATTTCGATTTCTTAGGAGAATGGCGCTAAAAAAATTTGAATCGATCGGCAAAACATTGTTGCACAATCCGACGATTTTTGGCTAATGTTTTTCTAATATAAAAATTCAATTTTGGTACGTACTTGAAGATCTAGATAGTTGCGATCCCAACGGTTGGAAACAATGTTCGAAATTTCACGTTCAAATGTCGTTGTAATTATGAATACAACAAATTATCCGCGTTCTATAAAAAAAAAACAAAAAAAAAAAACTTTTTTAATCATAAATTCATAAATGAGGGATGCAAGGGAAAACAAGACGTCGGGCTTTCAAGTCTATTATTTAGACTCAGCTCTTATTATGATACATAATTAAATTACGATCATTTGCTAGGAAAACCACTGTTTGGCACTTGCTTTCAAACAGTGATTTTTCTAGAAGATAATAATAAACTTGAAAACCCAAAGTCTGACTTTCCCTTGCGTCACAAATGTTGATGGTGAGTAAAACAGAATATTTATTTATGTGAGTGTCGCCAAGCCAAGAGAAATACAAAAAAGTCTAAATATAGAATAACATTTATTTTATATAGTACAATAATCTATATTTAGGCTTTCTGGTTTTCGCTCGGTAAACACTCATTTATCGTTATTCTTGGCTAGGTATTTTTTTTGGGGTAGTTCTGCGAATGAAATAAATTCGTATTCATATTTATCTTTATTACTCTGAAATTGTTTTAATGTGACGTGACGCATACGTTATTTGTTTAACGTTAAAAAAAAATATGATATGGTACAAAAACCTTTATTACAGAATTTTAAGATCTAGTACAAATAAGACTAAAAATAATTTAATTTAATTCCATGGTTTCGTCATCGTCATCTTCGTCATCGTCATTTTCCATACCCTCATAGTCTTCATTATCATCTTCCTCATCTTCGTTATCTTCATCTTCAATATCGTCTTCCGAAGTTCCGTAATACTCATCAACATCATCATCTTCATCATCAGAATTATAAGCCGCGTAATATTGACAAGTTGGTGCATGATAATGATTACCTTTTTCACGAATATTGTCGTAGTCACCAAGGCACCTATTTTCAATTTCAATTTCAATTTAAGCAAAGTAAGACGAATGATAAGTTTTCAAAAAATGAGAAATGGTCAAGTGCTTACAGCCAACAAAATTCATAACCACAACGACAAGTCATATGGTCGCATCCATGATTCTTTTCAATAGACATTTTACATCTTGGGCATGGTTTAGTATGACGTTCATAATAGGCACGATTAGCAGTATAATCTTTGGTTTGTAATTGCTCAGAAAATTCATCACAGGTTAGTCCTGAGTGCCAAGGAACATCATGAGTAAAACATGATTTTTCGCCACAGGCTTCGCAGGTAATTATTGGCAATCTATCTATAATTTTTTTTAAAAAAAAAATAAATTAATCAGAGTAGGAAAAGAAAAATATTCGCAAAAAGCTTACCTCCGGTTGTATGTTCTTGACCGGAACCGCATTTCGGAGCTTTGCACCAACGAAAATCTTGAAGCTTACGGATTGCAGCTCGCAAAAGAAGAGTATCGTACCTTATTTTAATATATGTATTTAATAACTTGCGTGGGTTGAAAGATTCTTTAAAACTTATATCACCTGTCGAATAACTCTTTTGGAGCCAATCTTTTCACATCATCATAAGCTAATTCTATTGTACAGCGAGATTTTGGGCAACGTACTTGAATTTCACTTCCTTTAGTATTTAATTCCGCTTCAATGTGTCGTTTGATACAGGTAGGACAAAGGTCATTATGACCGCAGACAGACGAAATTTGTTGAACGGTCGAATAATCTTCGCAACAAACACTGCATTCTGGCTTCGTTGTCGTCATTATAAAAAGATTTGAACTGAGAAAGCAGCTCAACCAATTCAGCGACGGAGTAAAATACTGTACAATGAAAGAGGTTTGTGTATGTGTATGCGTGTACAAAATCATATGATTATGCCTCATTCATCAAAATATAAATATGGCATAATTCTGGAATATATATTCATTTTTAAAGGATATCAACGGTTGAGAAGGTATTGTTTGCCAGCACAAACTTAAAAAATTATTTGTATTAGTAAATTAATATATCGAAAGATCTTGAAGTCGATCAAAAGATCCTGAGGTCGAGAATAGTTCCAGCGGTAATATTAGCGCATTAACGCATAATATGTAATAAAAAATATCTTATCACGAATTATTATAACCATAACTGTTTAGTTAGCTTTAGTTATAACGCATATATATATATATATTTATTAACCTCTCAGTATTACCTCGTACGCATTATCTCTCAGCATTTAAGAATTTAACTTTAAAAATAGCATATAATAAACTTCTTATTATGATGAATTTATCAATAAACATCCAATATAACGATAATAAATTTTTACTATTGGTACCTTCGTTATACCCGAAAAAGATTGTATTGTGAGACTGTATTTTGGTTGATTCTAACTTTACATACATATTAATTTTTATTATTGTTCCCATTAAAAATTAAGTTTCAAAATTATCCTGTAATTTTACAACCCTATAACAACCACATAACAACAATCGAAGACCCTATACTAGCCCACAATTCAATATCTCTAAAACGACTACTCTTAACATTACCTACACTTGAATGTAAGAACGGTTCATAAGATGAAGTAGGTTCTTGGTTTGTAGTTGGTGATGTAATGTTATTCGTGGTCGGAGTAGTACGTGTTATCGAGGCAGCCGTTGGAGTATTTCCTGGAGGGCTAGTGATACTTGGAGTAGTGATGGTACTAGACCTTCTCCAAGTTCTGGTAGTTGTATCGGTTGAAGTGCTTGCAGAGGTGGTAGTGGTGGTGGTAGTTGTAGTTGTAGTTGTGGTTGTAGTTGTAGTTGTAGTTGTAGTTGTAGTTGTGGTGGTTGTGGTGGTAGAGGATGAGGATGAATCATCTTGAGAGATTACTGGTGGTAAACATATGGTGAATAATAGGAGGATTAGAAAAAAAAAGTAAAGCTTTCGACACATTTTTTTTTTTTTTGTATATAAGTGGATGCGTTTTTAAAATATAGCTTAATAGTAAAGTAAAAGAATTCTTGATTATTGATTATTATTTTTACTGTTATTATTCTTCGTTTATTAATTCTGATATATTAATCATTATTTGAAGAAAAAAAAAAAACCAATAAATGAATTATTAACCCTCTAGATGGAGTTGGGATATCTACTTTAAAAATTTGTTATATTTATGTTTTTTAATGCAAGTGATAAAGTTATGCGACATTGATATAAATAACTACGTTAAATAACTTATTGTACATTTGTATTCGTAACACTGGTACATAGGTGCGTGCGTACTTAGATATGAATTGTGTCGCAAGTTATTAATTAACCATAGATAAGCCCAAGAATATTCCTGATCTACGTATCTAAGTATATGGGACTGTATTTATAGTAACCTAAAGATTATAATAACCGTGGCGGTAGAATGATACAATATATTTAAATCGTGACAAACAGAATTAGCTTCGTACATACAGATTGTACATATTCCTAAAATTAGTAAACATTTTTAGATTTGTACTTGAGTCATTCATTGTTACGTAATATGGAAAAGCATTTTGTACACTATGAATACCAAAATTTTATAAGGGATTTCTTTGATGAAATGTCACTTTGTTGGAGTTAGTGTTAAAGAGACTTGTTGTCCAAGAATCTTTATTATTGTGTATTACGTTCAATACCCCCCCTAAAAATAGTATCCCAAGATTTATACCCGGTCCATATTCCAATATCATCATGCGAAAAAGCCCTAGTTTAGTAGTGTCAATAAAACGAATCCTGCTTAAAGATCGGTTCACACGATACCCCTGGTACAGATCAAGTTAGGTGTCGTGGTTTTGATTTATCGTGTCAAATATCACTGAATGCAGCGCTCTACGGTAACAAACTTCATATTCGAATACACGTGTTGTATAATTTTATAATTTTGGTTGCATAATTACTTTACTTTTTTGGTATAATTGTGATCTAAATTCGGAAAAGCGAAGCATGTATGCTTCAAAATCACTAAAATGTGATTCGACGTATTCGGGTTATGAAGGTTTTAAATTTATATAAAAATAGGCAGCTCCTTCGATAATGAGTAATATCATAATAACCTATCATGCTTGAAGTTGCAACTTCAGGCGCCTAACTGAAATTACCCCCTGAAATTAGAGTTTCTTCGGGTGAAACATTAGGCAACTTCAAGACGTTGCTAATTTCAATGAGCCTAACATTATAACAAACATTTGCATGTATAATTTATTTGTCACCATTTGTTATATTCTTATCTATACTAATCAATATCAAGTTAAAAAGGCATTTACTAATTTCCTCCAAGTTTCAATTGGCCATCGGTAAATTGGACGAAATTTATTCCGGGTTAGTGGCGTAAGATCTCATGATCTACAAATCATATTACTGTATTACGAGGATCAAGTGTAATTAGGGATGTGAGCTATACCTATACCGTATTATACAATGGGGAATAATACGTACGCACCAATATTATACACATAGGTATAGGTATAATACCAATAATAGAAATGGGTTAGCCAATTAAATTGCTTTATTTGCAATTCCCTTAGAGTAATTCCGAACCATATTAAGCTGAGTGCATGGTGGTCATACGTACCATGCTATACCGTATTATGCAGTAATTATACCTGGTATTATACTACCATTTTCTCCCTAGGCGTAATGTAGCACGATCCGGAAATTCAAAACAAAAGTTGTTTTGTCAAAAATCGCTTCTTTCTCAAAAATCTGTATAATAAACCACCTTTAATGCTCTAACAAGAAAGTTTTCCTTGAGTGATTTTACTACATAGATTCTTAAACTTCAACCTTATTCTAAACGCATTAATGAACTTTAAAAAATTTTGCCTGCGCCACAACCTAGAGCAGAATTTTTAATGCAATAAGGGGTGTCCAATGTACTATGTAGATCAAATAGATTTATAGTCTCATAGTAAAATTTACTAGTGAATTTTTTTCGTGTAACGAAGACGATGGTCTATATCGATGTTAAATCCATGATTTTCGACGAATTTTTATTAATTTTATTGAAATTTTTAAAAAATCGTGCTTTTTATTAAAATATAAATTCTGGTAAGTAATTAAGTAAAATTTATAAGAAAGTTATTATGTAAAATTTGAGGAGATACGATTTGAAATTCAAGGAATTTTAATAACGTTTTTATAAGAAGGTATCAAATTTCAAATCGTATCTCCTCAAAATTTTACATAATAAATTTCCTAGAAATTTTACCTAATTGCTCAACAGACTTTATATTTTAATAAAAAGCTTGCTTTTTTCTAAAAAAGTTTTTATTAAAAAATTATTAGTTTTTAATGGTTTTGATAATTTTTAATATTGGTTATATAAATTTGTATAATACACATGCTTGCAATGAATGCGATAGAAAGCAGGATATTTTTACAAGTAAATTGAACTTAGGGTACCTTAATCGATAGGCTAAAAAGCATTAGAGAATAAATTTTAATTGCTAAAAAATATTTTCATAGTTCAAATGTTTTTTTTTTAGTAAATACTATAGTTGAAACTTTATTTAATAAATAGAAAAAATTTTACATTTAAAGATTTCAAAACTACATTTGTACTATTATAACAGACACCCAATATAATATTATATTCCTAGTTTTTTATATTATGTAATCATTAATTAGTACAAATTAATTAATTAGTTAAAGTAGATCAGAAGAAACCTAATCAAATATTTTTAATTATAATGAATATACAATAATATATAGTTTGTTAAAGTTTATTGTATATTAAATATCTTTGTTATAAATAGCAAAAACTACAACTCTTTCTGCTCCCAAAGCTCTAAGAAAAGAGGAAAAAAAGTACCACAAAAAATACTCAGTCTCTTAGGAGACTTGAGTAAAAAAAGCAGAACTAACAAAGAAATAGAAGAAGTTGTAAAAAATTGTTAATATTTTTTTGCACTTTACGAATTTTTGGAGAATCGGCCTTGACCCTGAATTGTAGATCTGTTTCAGTAATACAAAAATCACAACACGTAATAGAAAGTAAACAAAAAAAATACAACAAAAACCACATGACGAAAATAAACAAAATCATTAAATGCAGCAAACAACAACATCTTTTGACAGCAATAAAAAAACAACAAGTCATGTGAAGCAAATATTAACAAAATGTCTAGAAAAAAAAGTCAAAATACCTAAAAATATGAAAATAGTATTAAAAGAAATCTAGACCTTAATAGCAAAAACACCTGAGAAAAATATAGACGAATATATAGAATCAATAATAGCAAAATATACTGGACAGAAGTTTCTTTCAAAAAAAATTGCTAATAAACAAATAAAAGAGCTCTATGAAGAGCTATGGCGGTATAGCAGAGAAGAACTAAAATACACAGCATCTGCACTTATAGAAAGAGATCACAAGATTTACTACGAAGCATTGCAAGATGGTGAAGACCCTTTTAACTATATTATAAAAGAAGAAATATATGGTATCATGATAAAAGTAAGACTAGGTGATGAAATAAAAAAAATACTAATAGATAGAAAAAAGCAAATGGCTAAAGTAAAGGTAAAAATAGAATCAGGTTGGAGCAAAAGACTCTAAAAACAAAGAAGTAGCCAACAAAGACAGATAACAAAACAGCCTTGAAATCTATAGTATATCAATTCAAAGAATTTATCAAGTCTTCTACAGTAGCACATCACAAGACCAAGAAAAAAATCAAAGAAGCAAAAGAAAAAAAGATACAAATCCTACAAAAAAAAAC